CATCACTGTCCTATGGCAATCATGTATCTCCAAAAAGTGAACTTTTCGTGAGCTCAAAAAATAAACAAAAAACGTGTGCTTGTTGAGAAGGGAAGTTCTCTCTTGAGAGTGGAATGAGAAAAAGTCACTAGTGAGACTAGTGACTTTCTCACTTACTATGTATAGTACAGAGGACAGAGTTTGGAGATGGGTCAGTTACCATCATGTATGTGCTTCCTCCTCATAGCCACATGTTCATCTGCTTATCTTTGTTTAGCTTTGCTATTCCCTTTTGTTTCGTTCCGTGTCTATATTTGCATGCTACTACACATTTGTTCTGGGCCCTGTGAATGAGCTGGAGGACTTGTTGACCAGAGTCAAGATCTTTTTCTTTTCTTTTGTCAATATACTTTGGTAATAAAGTTGATTCTGTCTGTGGATGTTGATTATGTCCCAAACTGGCAAAATTGCAATTTATAGTGAGACTGTGTAACGTTTGAAAGAAGATGTAACACATTCTTTCTCTTACAAATTAAAACAAATAAAAAGAGTATTGGTGCGATGATCTCATTTAGTCTGGCATGGCGACTAATGTTAGAAAAAATACTCATAGTCATTTCCCACAACTCTCCCACAACTTTCAGCATTTACTTTTATCTTCTAATTGTCACTTTTAAAAAAAGTCACATACTCTGACGTTTACTAGGAAACTGTCTGATCAAAGAAAAAGCAAAGAACAGAAATTGCGCACACATTTGATACCAGCTCTCAGCACTCTCTTCTGAGTGCTATGAACACGCTTCCATCAGGATAAAAACAGTACTCGAGTTTGATTCACAGTCCTATCAAAGATAGAGAGTGGTGGACGCAAGGGAACACAAGGAGAACAGGCTCAGCTGCTTTGAAAAAGGGATGAATAAGCAGAAAGAGAGAAAAGCCAATAGAGAGAAAGAAAAGCAGACTGGACACTGTATCTGTGATGAGGAGGAGAAAGAAGAGACACAATCGGATTGCTCACGTCTCAAAAGTGTTGTATTCAGTGGGGGCCACTTACGCAGTCAATAGTAATGGATAGCACATGCAGTATGAGTACAATAAGAGACCCTGCCTTCTTTATCTGCTTATATGTAATACATGGCAACAACAATAGCCCTGCTGCATTGAAAATCTATCCAACATACTCAATTCTCATCTTGTCTTTCCAAATAGCAACTATTATTCACCGAAGACACTGAAGTGGTCCCCCAGGTGACAAAAGAGAGAAATGAAATGAAGGAAAAGAACAGATGACCATCAATACACAAGAATCCAAAAAAAAAAGAAAGAGTAAACACAGAGAGAAAGACAAGTGGAGCTCTGGAAAACGAGGGGAAGGAAAGCAAAGGGGCTTAAGGGGAAGCAAGAAAGTGTGGTAAAAAGCATTCAATAAACATGTCTCTATAGTAACCAAGATGTAATTTGCTTGGTGAGAAAAAGGGAACGATAGAGATTGAGGGAGAGTGATGGAGAGAGGGGGAATAGAAAAGCATTTACCATCACTGCTTGAGTCCAGAGCTGTAATTACGGAAGTGAGACGCAGCGAGAGAGGGGGAGGAAAAGAGCGGCGGCACACACAAGAAAAGAGCTGCACACAATGTACTTTTACAAAAGCAAAAGGTGAGAATGAGAAACACACACACACAAGTAAAGTGATGACCCTGTAAAATTGGCACTGTTGCAAATAAGTGTAGTAGGCGTGCAGGGGGGAAAAAAAAAAAAAAAGCAGCTCCCGAATGTACAAAAAGACAACGATGAAGGAGAAGAGAAACTTGTGACAAAAGCTTCCTTTGTAAGTCTGTGTGTGTGTGTGTTGTGTTGTGTTGTTCATGGAACCATCATGGAAAAAACAGAACATATTAATCCTGCCTGATCATTAAGCCAAATTAAAACAATTGCTAACTCTCTGATTAAGTGGAAGTGAATCTTAATGTTGCAGCAACCACAGAGAGAAATGAATGAATGCAAATTGACAAAGAGGAGGACGTGGAGTAGAGTAAAAGTGAAAGAGATGAGGGGAAGAATGACAGGTGAGGATGAGATATCTTATGAGGGGGAGGCAGTACTCATGATGAGTGATAGACAGGCCAAGATGTGTGTGAAACATGCAGGCATATGGCCGATCAAAATAGTAGGAGGCCAAAAATAGCGGGATTACAGAGTAGACGGAGAATGGGGCCAGTGTCTGTGTGTGTGTGTATGTGTGTGTGTGTCACAGAGGGAGAAACAGAGCGATATAGGGAGAGGAGTGTGTTCATGCTGTGTGTATGTGTGTTTAGGGTAGTTGATTACAGCTCTGGCGAGTGGCTTGGTGTCAGCCTGTATATGTGGAGATAACAGGATTAAGAGGGTACTGACACTACTGTACAAAAGCAATGGAGAGAGAAGAGGAAGTGATGGAGAGGAGAGGAGAGGAGAGGAGAGGAGAGGAGAGGAGAGGAGGGGAACTTAAAGGAATACTTCTCTCAAATTCTTCACATTCCTTTGGCTTCAGACATTAAATGATGAGGCGTAAGCTCATGAAATATGTACAAAAGTTCAGCGAATAACACTCATAGTGAAACCTGAATGACTGTGTGAACAAAGTGTGACTGCTTCCATACAGAGGTCACCGAATGGTCTGATCTCAACCCATCTTTGAGAGATTTCGGACCGACATAATCATCACTGGCCATCATCAAAACACCAAATGGGGGAATATCCTGTTGAAGAATGGTGATTATTTCAACAATAGAACTGAGTTAGAGTCAGATCCCAAATCTGTACTCAAGAGTTAGATTGGCACGGATCCTCCAAGAGAGAGACTTGGAGGATGGCGGCCCAGCATCTTACTAAACACTTTATTTTGGCAGTTCCTTTCATTTGTCACCTATCTGTCCATGAACATGAAAACAGCTGACAAGCTCCTTTTGCTTTAGCACAAATACATAACACAATGCAAAATATAACACTTACGGCTATGACAGAAATAAATCCTACCTTTCAAAATGTTACCGAAACCTGGAGAAAATCAATATGGGCTTAGACTTTGATTTGACATCTCCATGAATCATCTTTAGCTTGATTAAAGTTGTTTTTGAAAAAGTACCAGCTTCTTACTACAGTCTGAGCTATGTGCTCTTACATGAACATGCAATTTTCTGCAAAAGTTACAACATTGTTGGTTATTTCACGAGAGATTACACCCACACAGTCCCAGTGAAGCAGACTGAGCTTTTTTGAGTCTTAAACTCTTAATAAATAAAACTTAAGATGTTTTCCCCCCCAAAACTTAAACCTGTTGCATAGATATTCACAGCCATAGAGGAATTCTTGACATAAATATGGGTGTAATGGTGAATGTAGATTTACTGTATGACAGACTCTATGGTATGACAGACAGTGTTTGCTGAGATAAACTGTGCCAGGAGACAGAAAAAAAAAACATATTTGACCAGTAATGAGAAGATCAATGAGAGCGAAGATTAGGACGGATGATGGATAGAGGTTGAGGGGAAAGATTTTGGAAAGAGTGCTTTTAATGATGAATAGCAGACACACAAAAATTGAAACAAATATTAAAGAGGAAAGAAAGAAGGGAAACAGAGAGAGAAGAAGAGAAGCTGTGAAGTTGGGAGATTTCTTTTTCTCTCCGTTTTGGAGAAAGAGGGGGGATAATTTAAATGAATTTTCACAAAGCATTATTAACCTCTGGCACAAAATTTGTTAGGAAGTGTCTGGTCCCATAGATCAATCACAATGAGAGCGAGCGAGCGAGACCCCAGCAGAGTGAGTTACTCCTCTGCGGTCTGCTCCACGTTTGCTGAGGGAGCGCTAGCTCACCAGGGACAAATTAGCCACACAGGAGCACTGAGGCATCATGGGAAATTAATGATCAGGACCTCCAGGAAGTGAGCTAATGAGTCCTAGGCCACACACATATGTACACTATGAACCACACACACATAAGGGGGGGTGGATGTGTGAGAGGAAATAGCCAGACGTGCATTTGCAGCAGATAATAACACAAAGCCATCAATGTAACTTTGTCTGGATGAGTGATAGTGCTGGTCCAAATAGCAGGGTTAGTATCTCTCTCTCTCTCTCTCTCTCTCTCTCTCTCTCTCTCTTACACACACGCACACACACTTAGAGAATCAGATAATTAGAGAGGACCACCAGTGGCTTTTGCCCATGGAGGCGTAGTGATTACTGTCACTACACCTTCCCCTGGGGCGACAGACAACACTCAGAGAATTAATACTTATCAACACACACACACACACACACACACACACACACACACACATACACACACAAACACAAACACACACACCTAATGCAGCCAAGTGTAGCTGAACTAAATGTGGATCTTGCAGACTATAGTCAATGGGGTGGTGGGGGCCCCCCGCTGTTTGATTATCTTGTGTGCTGGGTAACTGAAAAACAGCATTTTACAGTGTAATGCTGCCCTACATGGAGCTATACTGGAAGTGGAAGGTGTGAAGCTGGAGGGGCAGTTTAGGAGGGAATGAAGTTGGGGGTTTTGCTTGTTGAACTGTGTGAACCTCCACTGCTGGAGTGCCTTTGAGCAAACACCCAGCCAGCTGCTGCAGAGGAGCTGCTGGCTGGAGGTCAGACAGGACAGCGCCAGCTGTGTTGGAGCCTGCTGCATGAAATGACTTTAAATATGCTGAACTCTTCAGCTCCAGAGGAGTCGTTTCAAGAGGAGGAAGGAGGACAGAGGGTCCCAAGCTTTCCTGAGAAGAGAAAAAAAAAAAAAAAAAAACTGGAACAGTGACAGACTGTCTCCCCACACCAGTCGGCGCACCTCACAAAGATTTAACTTCGCACCACAGTATCACACATCACCACACCCTTGTCCACTGATTGGCCCAAAGTTTTCCCCGGCACCGCCCTCAGCCCTGCGGATCCGCCCTTCTCGCGCTGTGCAATCTGTTGCTGCCAAACCAGCTGGCAGTTCCAATTCATATTCTGATCTAATACTGTACTGGAAACCTTGGCCTTTAAACTCAGGTTCAGTCTCGTTTATTAGCCTGTTACTCTTCAGTGAACGCTCCAAAACCATGATGCACAATCTGGACACACTCTCTACAACTTTTCCCTGTGGAAGTACACACTTTCTACTCTGCAGCCAGTGAATACTCAACTTTTCTTCTTTTCTTTTTTTTTTCTTGAGCGTCTTTTAATCAGTTTACATTTGTACATCATGCGAAGCTTCAGCAGCAGTAGATGACGTAGAAGTTTGACTCGGTTCGTGAGTTGCCGAAGCTGCTGGAAGGAAAAGTTGTTCCCCCCCGAGCTTCTGTCGGGATTCCTCCTCCTCACCTGATCTGCTCACCACACCCTCCCGGCCGGTGCAGAGCCTCTCCGCGGCCCCCAGCGGCGGTCAGGATGGGCTCCCTGACGTTGACGCTCCTCGGAGCTCTTCCCACTTGGAGAGCTACGATTTTCCTCTTCAACATCATCTCAGCCGCTGTGGCTAAAAGACACGTCGTGTACTGGAATTCTACAAACACAAGGTGAGTGAACTGTACTGATGCCCCAACCAGAACAAAGGGAGGAGACGGGGAGTTTTCTCTGAGCTGCTTCTCACCGCGGCCCGCATGGAGGTGTTTAGGCCTAATGTTAAAAATGTGACTCAATCTACTTTGCATAAAATAAACGCCGCCGGTCTGAACTTGCTCAGCCACGACGTTGCATAACGACCACAATAATTCCTGCTAAATGAGTCAGGCTGTAGTTGGCTTAAAGAATCTCTGCTATGCAGCAGATCACGTCCTTGTGTGCTCAAATAAAGAGTGGGCCAGAACAAGTATGGTTTCCTAAAACTTGCCGTAACACAAACGCTGTCAGACTGTTTTTTTTTCCTTAAATAAAAAAGCTTGAACTCCGGGGATTCAGCCTGCTCTCATTTAAAACACAGTGGCCTGATCTAACCTTCCTCCTGCATGTAGTTATCTTTATCATAATGACTACACTCTAACCCTGGCTTTCACCTGGCCCCTGCCTTTTGGAGTTAGTGATTATGCTCCTTACAGAGCACCAGCAGTAAGTGTTTGTTCTGAATAGTGCCCTAGATGGCAATCTGAGGACACAGGTGTATATTAAAGTCTAAAGTGCTGCTGTGCATAAGTGAATATGTGGTCAGCTAATGGGAGGGTGTGTGTGTGTGTGTGTGTGTGTGTGTGTGTGTGTGTGTGTGTGTGTGTGTGTGTGTGTGTGTGTGTGTGTGTATGTAATGGGTTGATTGGGGCCATTAGCAAGGCAGAGTCAGGCTCACCTGCTGATCCAGGTGTTCCAGTCTGGCTAATTGAGGGTCTGAGGTGGGAGACCTGCAGGGCCGGTAAGGCCACTGCCCAAAATAACACATCCGTCGTTCCGTCACCCGCTTATTTAGAGACACTCTCCATAAGGCCTGATTCCCCAAACACTCTTTCAGATGAATGACCTTTTTACTTAATGGCCACAGAGACCATTCTTGTATTTTACATTTATGGATGCACAAAATACGACAGAAATATGACTCTTGGGGCTTATAATTTCCCCAAGGCCTTCTTTGTCAGGTCTGCAGGACTCATCCTGTATAGCCTACTGGAGTCAGCTGAGGTTATATCCTGTGTGTCCAGGTGGGTAAAACCCAGTGCTGTAATTGGGATCCTACAGAAATGTGGTGGGGAGGAACACTGCGAGGATTAGGAAGCACCTTCTCGTTCCCCAGAGATTCAGGGATGAATGGTCACAGCCTGTGGCAGGGCCACACAGTCGGCTGCAACACCACACAATCACAATGCCATCAGCATCACGGCGGAGGGTAACCCACTGTGGCAGAGAATCACTCTCATCAGCAACACCACCCAATCACAAAGCTATCAGCAGAGCCGTGATGCTGCACCCGGTCCAGAATCCCCTGGGTTTACCGCTAGGACTCACTTCCTCTCCTCTCCTCTCCTCTTCTCTCCTCTCCTCACTCTTCATTACCTTCCTTGTTACATCCCACTCTCCTTTTCATTTTTTTGTCTGCACTACCCGCTCCTCCTTCGCTTCTTCGCCCCCTTTATCTCTCACGACTCCCTCCTGCCCAGTGATGGATATTGGCGGTGTGATTAGTTGAGCTTCAGTCATTTTCCCATACCATATTTTCTATTAGCTGCCTGCCAGCCAGCCAGGTTGTCCCGAGGCCTGTAAATGTGGCCTGGCCGGGGAGAGGGACCACAGGGACAGGAGAGCTATGCCTTTGCTGGCATGAAGCTACAGTGCAGGGTCCAGGACTGCACTCGATGTTCATGGTATAGAAAGCACTGAGGAAAAAAAAAAGTATTTGTCCACAGTGTTCTAATGGTTTAAAATTAAGCTATTATCCTTCATTATTGAATATTCCAAAAAGTTCTGGACTCATCTCTTAAAACTGCTTTAATCATTATTTTTATATTAACACTGAATCAGATGACTATATGTGACAAACCCACAGAGATTCTGCAGTTTCCCTCAGCTCTCAGTTCATTGCTTTTGGTTAAACAGCCAACTGTACTGTTCTGATTCAGTTTCACAGCTTTCATCAGCGTTGTTTATAGCAAAATAGCTCCAACAAACCACCCTGGGCAGCACCAAACTGCAGGCAGTTAAAGTTAAGAACTAGTAGAGGATTTTGTTACCAGCTTAAGAGCCAGATATTTCCCTCAGCAGTTGACAGAGAACAAAATAGGGCAAATATTGAATTTAGAAGAGATGGGAATTTTTTTTACGTTCACACGGTTGGCCGAAACACAACATCTCTCTTGTGGCTAACACCACAACTTTACAAACTAATATATCAACGTTGTACTTCCAAAAATCAATTAATGTAGGTTTTTACAATCACATATTGAATTTATTGGAACATCTTGGCAGAATGTTATTGATTCGGCCTTTGTGCACCTTCCCATTCAGCCCTCATTGAGAATGTTGGCGATGTGGGAAATAAAGCTTTTTGGACGGTTAAGCTAATAAGCCGCTTTGGCTGCTAAAAGCCAAAGAATTGTGCAGATCTCTGACACTGGGAAAACCATCTTGAGGAGGAGCTATGGCTGCCGTTACGCTAAAGGCTGAGCTCGTATTTAATACAACTGTAGCTGGTGAGCAAACAGGCTCTTTTTAATACATATGACAGAAGACATTCTCCTTCCTTCGACATCTAGATTTATGGTTTTAATGAAGCAGGGGCAGTGAAGTGGAGACTGAAGGGCCTCGTTGCCCTGTTCTTTGCTGACTAATATGGCTGTAACAAAGGCTCAGTGAAACACTTTAACTGGCACACATTTAGCACCATCCAGATTGAAAAATAGAGCTCTGAAATGGAAGTGATAGACTGACTGCAGGGTCAGCGTTGAACATTGCGGAATCAGATGCCCTGGCCTCTTTCATTGTGGGGCTCAAGTGGTTCGATTGCCCTCTTTTATGATTTCATGAACAGAGTTTACGATCACTTACAATTTTATAACAGTGTATCTCAGAGCGATAGTTCCTTATTAGAAGAGAAATTATTTTTTACTTCCTTGAGCAGTTAAAGGTTAGTGAAATATTACAACTAGAGTCCTCTGAGCGTGTGTGTGTGTGTGTGTGTTCCCAGTGCTGACACGATACTTCAGCTTACCTCAGCTTTAGTGTACTGGTATATTCAGCTCTCCCTTGTGCGTGTTGTTTATAACCTGTTGGACCAAATAGCTTGACCAGAATACCTGCTGATACAACAGTGTCTGCTTCTTGTGCTACATTCATCCTCATAAATTTACTGAGAATCTGTCAGGAAGTTTACCCAGAGCACCAAAACTTAACTAAGTATTGAATTAACTCTTTTTTTTTTTTCTCTTGCTTTAGAAAGAGGCTTTTACCTCTGTGTACGAGCTGCTTGTAGATTTGTAACGAGAATAAATGTCACCCATACCTGAAGCAGCTACTCCATTTCCTTGTCCTCTGATTTACCCCTTGTTCTTGGCTCACACCTCTACCTTTCTTTTTCCCCTTTTATCAGCCATGGCAGGAGGCAGACTTGTTGCAACAGTTCCTCTGGATCACAGCTCAAACTTCAGACTCTGGTCTCCAACTCTTTGCTTCCTCTCCTCCCTGTACACTCTCAGTATTTCTTCCCCGCAGAGCAGCGGATTAGCGTGTTTTCAATTGGCGATAACAATATTTTACCATTTACATGCACAACAGGAATATTGTTACCCATTTCTTGCTTACACTTGAACTCAGTCTGCAAGTTTGGACACAGACCTTAAAGCTGTTAAAACAACACCAGACCAGTCTAGACCCCTCTGAACTCTCTCGCTCGCTCTTTTTCATTCCTGTCTCTGTCTCGCTCTCCCCTCCTCCGACAAAGACTGAGGTCGAGCTCAAAAGCCAGTGAAGCATGTTTAAACGGTGTGTGAGGAGACGAATATTTGTATTGGTTTTTCTGTATCTTTATTGAAAGCAGCCCTCATAAGTCTTCTGTGTAATCTCTGCTCTGTTTATGCATCATTTCCCTCTGTGTGCGCTCACGAATGATCTAGTTTAAATACCAGAGTAAATCACATTCTGCATACCATACCTTCACACACACACACACGCGCACGCACACACACACACACACACACACACACACACACATCTGATCTGTGGGCGCTTGTGCGAGCAGACACACCTCCAGTATACAGTACAGTGAAAGCAGACACTGCTTGTAATTGTGTTTTGTCAGGTGAGGTGACTGCAGTTTTAGACTGATTTCTTTTTTTTTCTTTTTTAAATATTTCCTTTTTTTTTTTTTTATTCCTTCACCCTCAGGTCCGTCTGTGTCTATTCCTCCTCTGTCGTGTGTGTGCATGCAAATGAATCTATTTCTCGCCCTGTCTGCTATCTCGCCTCTCTGTGTCTGTCTCTGTACTAATCTCTGTCTTCCCCTGGTAAATGATTAACATGGAGAACCTGGCTGAACTATAATCAACAAACCCACAGTGAGGTAATTACCACTTTATTCCCTGTCCTGCTAACAAAGCAATAACCCCCCCCCCTCTCTCTCTCTCACTCTTTCCATGCCTCTCTCTGGTTCTCTCTCTCTCTCTCTCTCTCCTCATCTGTCATCAGGCTGTATCAACGTCTCTCTCCCCCGTCTGTGTCTTTTCTGTGTCAGTGCTCGTTGTCTCACTAGCTGCTGTGCTTTGGTCTGTGTAGATCCAAGAGGTGTGTTGTTTGTGAGTGCGTTTGTGTGCCTTATCTGTCTCTGTAAATGTGCTTTGTCTTGTTTGTTTGTGGTATTGAGTGTATTATCTGGAGGTAAACTGTGGATGAGTTAACTCTGTGCTTCATCTTCTTCATCTCTGTCAGAAAACAATGCAGGCCAGTGATTTTAGTGATTTGCACGCCTGTGAATTGACATTTGGTGCCATTGTTGTCGGGTGAAGTTCATTTCAGTGGAACAATAGCTCTGTCAGAGGTGTGTGCGTGCGTGCGTGCTGCGTGCATGCGTGCCTGGAACTGACCTGCTGGTTTGCGTAAAACGGGA